GGGGGGGGGGGGGGGGGGGGGGGGGGGGGGGGGGGGGGGGGGGGGGGCGAAATTCGGCCGTGCGAGGGAAGCCGAGGCGAGCGTGTATGTGATCTACCGATAACGTCGAATTTTTTGTCCAACAAACCGCCTTTTCGATTCCCCGGAACCCTTGCAGCAGTTTTTGAGACGCACGCTTTCCTCCCCCGCTTTTTTTTTTTTTCAGCTGGAACTCGATGCCAAGGCATTGGAACGGATGGACGGGTTGACCCGACAGGCCAGGAAGGAGCAAGAGGAAACCACACGCGAAAAGGACCGGCTGCAGGTAATCATGTTTTTTCTTATTTCGCCAAGCGGCCCGGCCGCACAACGTTGGCTGAGTGTGGCTCAGTTGATTCGTTTGAAATTTTGCCTGATGGATCCTTCTGGCGCTAGGATGTGGGTTCATACGTGTCTCTCCTCATCCTCCCCTTGCATCGAAACCCGTGTCTCGTCACCAGGGTTGCGTGATAGAGCTTGAGCGAGGCAAGAGAGAGACCGAGGACGCTCTGTCGGTCGCCCAGGAGGAGCTCGAAGAGGCCTGTCGAGACCTCGAGGACGCCTCCCGCCGCCTCGCCCGCTCCCGCCGCGACCACGGGGTCGCCACGGAACGCCTCGAGGAAACCCGGCAGGCGCTGGCGGCGGCGAGGGCGGAGCTGGCGGAGGCCGAGCGGGCGCTGAGCAAGACGACCGAGGAACTCGCGGTTACCACGGAGGAGCTCGAGTCAACGAAGAGGGAGCTGGGAGGGGCGGAAGAGGAGCTGGTGGTCCTCCGGGAGGAGCTCCACTCCGCCACCGCGGTGGGGGGGGAGGGTGGTGGCCACGCTGCCGCCAACGACGAGGACGACGACGGCGAGAGCCTTGCGGGTTCTGGGCGGAAGCAGCAGCGCACCCTGGCGGCAGGCGAGGGGGCGGCTGCTGCTGCTGCTGCTGCCGCTGCTGCTGCGGTGGCGGGCGTTGGCCGCCCTGAGCAACCCGAGCAGAGGTTGCCGCAGGAGGTGGGGGGCACGCTAGTGGGCGAGGCGGAGCGGGCGTTGCTCGTGGACGCGGCGTCAGAAGCCCGGGCGGAGGTCGAGACCCTGCGCGGCAAGGTCCGCGGGCTGGAGCTCGAGGCGGCGGAATCGCGGCGTAGCCTCGCCGAAGCCAACCGCCAGCTCGCTTCCCTGGTTGCGGTGGCTCGAGCGGGGGGCGGCGAGGAACGGACGACGGTGGCGGGTTCTAGCCGGACCGAGGAGGCGGCATTGCTGCCGCCGCGGCAGGGCGGTAACCTGTCGGATGGCGGTGAAACAGGCGAGGTTCGGGAGCTCCGGCGGCAGCTGGAGCGGGCCGATCGGCTCAGAAACGCCTCCGAGGATAAGGCGGCGAGCCTCCTGCGGAGGCTGGCCCAGGTCAAGGCGGAAGCGGACCTTGTTGTGCTTGAGGCCGAGCGCGCAGAGGTGGGAATCCAACGGCGTCAGCCACGTGGCAGGGGGATTCTTGAATAGCGGGAATGAGAGGGGGTGTACTCATCACCGTGCATTCCGTAGTCCTTAGACCATTGGGAGTTCGCGGGAGGCGGGGGAGGGAGGGGGTAGGCTCGGTATGTCTCCCCTGTATCTGAATGCTTCTTCTTGCTGTGACGTCTCGTGGCAAAGCAAGGGTACCGCTGTCGTTGGAAAATCGGCGCAAAGGTCTGGCTGTTCGGTTAAATAGCGGAGAGAGTTCGGCGCCCTCCCCTCCGCTCTTGAAGAGCGTGGGCCCAGAACGCGCTCTGAGAGATGCTGCACGTGTTCGAAACTCGCGTGAAACCGTGTTTATCATGACTCTTTGCCTTGTATTTGACCGCAGAAGCGTAAGGAGGGCTTCAACGACGAGCCGGGGGTGCGTAGCCGGGTCGAGACGGAGCTGAGGAGGGCGATGGAGTCGAAGGTGGGTATGCTTCGCTGGGTCGGATCGTGCATTTTCATATTTCTCTCTCGAAGACTGGGAGAGCGTCAGTACTGATGCTGGTACCTGCAAGGATCGTTGCTGGTGTTGTTGGTATTGCTCCTCCTGCTGCTGCTGCTGCTCCTGCTGCTGCTGCTGCTCCCGCTGCTGCTGCTGCTGCTGGCGGTGGCGACACTGATGATGTTCCTGCTACTATTCCCCCGTGTGTCCTGCCTTGGATCCCGCTGTCAATTGCTTGAGTGCTGATAACGTATGTTTCGGGTGTACAATAGATACATTTGTGCTTATTTCCGCAAATCCACTGTTTCCGGCATTAGTCTTTCCAGGCCGGGCGTAGAGGCCAACCACTCTTGAACCTCCCTCCTAACTTTTGGCATTCTTCAACCGTGATTATTTTATTCTCAGCCTCCCTACCTCTTCACAACACCACCGCCTCTGCCACCGTATCTATGGATAACACTGTAGGACCACCTGGAGGAGCGACTCGCCTGCTCGGAAGCAGCTCTCGTTGCAGCGGAGGAAAAGCTGGCTGCGGAGAGGGCCGAGCACGCCGATGCTCTGGCGGAAATCAAGCAGTCCCTCGACAGGGAGCTCGGGGAGCAGCGGGAGGCCGCACAGGCCGAGGTGTGTGGATAAGATGTTTGTTCATCCTGGTTTCGCCGCTGCTGATGCCCCATTCGGAAGTAGTCTGCCAATCGTTATCCTCCAAATTACGCTTGCTTCGTTTTTTCCATTGTGTACAACTCTCTAAAACCCAGTATTGCCCACACACAATAGTCGAGTACCACTCGACTATCTTCCACACTAACGCTTCCTTTTTTTTTCTTGTTAGTGTAACCCGTGCCCTAGTATTGTATACCCTTCCCTGAGCCTAGTGTAGTACCCACACACAAAGGTAGAGTTTATCTGATCGCCATCCAAACAAACCCCTAAGTCGCCCTTTTGTTCTTTTGTTCTGTTTGCTTGCTGGTTTCCCTCCAGGCTGCCTGTCTCCAGTCGAGGGCATCGGAGGCAGAGGCTGCGTCGGAGGAGTTGCGAAAGCGGCTAGGCGAGGCCCTGCGGCAAGCGGAGAGGGCGGAGGCCGGCACGGAGGCCGCCAAGTCGTCGGCTGCTGAGGCTCAGGTCGGTGGTGACGACGATAAGAACGACGATGACGTGGGAGTCGTTGACCTGAACGGTTGTGGCTGTCTCGGGTGATGGCGTTCTATAACAGCTCATGTTTTTGTTGGTATGCCCCATGTAGTCTTTCGGTGGAGCTGTTGAGAGAAGCGTGTCTTTTTCGTTTTCGGTACAGGGGGTCACCAAAGACAGCCAGTCACCAAGCATGTTAGACTTGGGAGTCAAAGGAACTTCAAGAGCACACTCTCCTGCTGCTGCAGGCGTTCTCCAAGGCGTACATAGGGTCCGCCATGCTTCGTGCGCCATACTGCCGAGGTTGGTTAGGAGCACTAGTAGAACAATAGGACTCGCGAGAGAGTGGGTAGGCGAAAACTCGACATCTTTCGCCTTGCTGCTGGCTGGCGCGTGTGCGTGCCGTGGGCGTACTTCAGGCGGCGCTCGAGGAGTCGAAGGAGAGCTTGCGGTCGTCTGAGGCGCAACGCTCGGCCTTGGACCAGAGGAAGGAGTTGCTGGAGAGCAAGGTGGCTGAGCTGGAGGAACAAGTGGGCGAGGTACAGAAAAACGGGGTGGCAGGGATGGCGGCGAAGGGGGGGGTGTGTGAGCGTCGAAGAGACTAACCGCCGTGTGGCGCGAGCAGCTTTAACCTGCAGTTTTTGTTAGGCACTACGCCCCGGTGGTCTAGTGGTATCCTCGTAATCCGCTAGTCGCAGAGGTCGTGAGTTCGAACCCCCATGGGGTGAAAAATTTACGAAATTTGCGGGTGAAAGCGAAATATAGCTATAGAGCTCTCGTGAGTACCAAACTTCGACGTTAGCACCGTTGATGAGGGAAAGGGACGGCTGGACCCATCTCGCGATAAAAATAAAATTCAGCACGCACCGCAGGAGGAAGGTGGGGCATGAAAAGAAATAAAAAGAAGAGGAAAGCCCTGGTGTTTACCCCCTCCTGTGTGACCCTGGATGGTTGTAGTTGTACGAAAATATACACTGAAAAGTGTAGTACTCTAGATACGCTGAAAAAGTGTAGTACACGTCTCACCACGAAAAATGGGGGGACTGTCGTCATAATAAATAGACTACTAGGACGAAAACACACACAACACACACACACTATTAGGACGACATGAAGATGTTCGAAGCCAGGTACGGCTCCACGACCGACAAGCCGAGCGTCTTCGGAGTCCCGAAGTTAGTCTGGAGTGAGGCGGCGAAGGTGGAGGGGGGGGTACCGTGGCACGCGGGGGTGCTACAGGGAGCTGAGAGGTTCATGGCCTCTTGGCACAAGGGCAAGGAGGAGGCCAGCCGACAACGAGCCATCAAACGAGGAGACAGCGGGCCCAAAAATAGTCTAGATACGGCACCAATCAACGGGGCGGTAGGGGGGCGGAAGGAAACGGCGCGGCGGGAAGAAAGCAAGCGAGAAGAGACCGACCGCGTGACGTGACATGTTGCGGTCGAATTTCAACGACTAATTTTTCTGTTGCCCTCTCCCCCGTTTGCTGTCGCGTTCAGACTGTCTCTAGGGATATCCCTGTCTCTGTGCGAGTTTGTTTGTGTCCTCGTCTTTGCTTTATTCTGTTTTATTTTGTCTTTTGTTTTGTTTTTTACTGGCACGTACCCCCGCCCCTTCCTTTGGCCGTCGACCTGCCTCCATGTAGTGGGAGGCTACCCCCCCAGGCTGGTGGTGCGGCCGTTCCACTAGTCTAATTATTTATTTTATTTTATTTTATTTTATTTGTTTCTGATTATATTTTGTTTTCTTGTATTTTATCGCTCTGCTGACCCTTGGGGTCCATTTTATTTTGGTATACCTTTTCTAAGTACGTTAGCCTGTGACCACGGAAATTGGCCGAGTCAAGTGATGGATTAGTACGGAGAGATTGAGACAGAAGGAGGTACTGGATAGAGAGACCGGGATGGTTTTTAATATGAAGACAACAACAACAACAACAACTATTGTCCATCGCTGGTGGGGGGCTGTCGCCATAATAAATAGGACGAAAGCACACAACACACACACACACTACTGTCCATCGCTGGTTTTCGTTTTTTTCACGTAACCAAGGTGCGTGGCTGCGCAACCCGGTCACCGTGCATTTACCCCCCTCTCGCTCCCCCC